AGTCAACTCCTCTGCCTCCCTGAGGGATGGGGACCTGGTTCCGGGGCTACCTACGCCCGGCACTGACCTCTTGGGGATTGCTGGCCTCCCCCTGCTTTTCTCGCATTTGAGGCCACAGCTCACTTGAATTATCAGACTGGATGACAAGGAAAGACACAGCACACAATTTTTAAATAATTTTATAATTTCCCGATGGATTTAGTTTGTGAATAAAAAAGAAAAAAAACCGAACAAAGTGTTTACAATAATTATCAAGGCAAAGTTGACTATAACACAATTTCTTTGTAGTGTCATTATCCTGTCAGTAACTCGACTCTGTCCACACACACACACACACACACACACACACACACACACTTGAAGGCAGCGGGTGCATTTGCATCACAGACACCACCATTGCGGCTGCTACTGTCACCAAAAGGAACTCAAGCTACAAGGAAACAGTGCCCAGGGCCCCTCAGCTCCTCACTAAAGTGCAGCACTTCTCTTCTGGAACAAAGGGGCGAGCGTCCCAGGGGGACCTGTCCCCATCCTGAACACCCAGCCTGGTGTGCAGGCAGGCTCGGCCGGTCCTGCGTGGGCAGCAGGCAGAGCGGGCGGTGCACTGCCCTCAGGTGGGCCTGGCTGCGTCAGAGGACATGCAATACTGGTGTGGTGTGGAAACAGGGCTGGGCTCAGAGGGCTTGCTCTGGCCCAGGGCCCGATTCCCTGGCTTCAGCAGGGTTCCCTTCCTTTCCTGACGACGGCCTCAAGGGGGCCAAGAAAGGCAGCTTGGGCCCCGGAGATCTGGGTCTAAAATTCTTAAAGGGAAAGAATCTAGGACTGACGCCAGAAGGAACTGAGATCTGAGGGTAGCTCATTCACCGGGACTGCGGGCGCTGGGCTGGCCAGTGCCCGGCCCGTAGTGGATGGTCACTGGATGATATAGCACCAAGTGGGCAGGAGAGAGGTTCTGTGGCCTGTGCAGGGCTGCTGCCAGGTGTAGGGCTTGAGTCAAGCCAGGTTGCCACACAGTATTAGGCACACTGAGCTGGGACCAATGTGGGGGTGAGAGTGGTTATAGGGTCACAAACTACCCAGAGGTCCTGAGGATGTACAGGAAAACGCTGGCGCAGCTGGGACTCTGAGCCCCCGATTCCTTTTCCTCAGCAGCCGTCTTTCAGCCAGGTAGTCACCTACCTGGACTGTGGTCCCTGCGCTTCCCAAGCGGCCAGCCCAGCTGCCACCTAAGCCGACTTGGGAGGAGGGGAGGAGTTTGGCTGCCCCATAGCTTGAATTCCTTTAACATGATATTGGTTTGCATTTTTAAAACACAGCTCCTTAATTTTTCAGTTCTACAACTACTCTTTAATATCTTAATAATCTCAACAATGGACACAATGTAACTGCCCGAATTCTCTGAACCACACAGACAATATTGACAAGCAGAGAAACAAAACAGGAGGTGGGATGGGACAAAAACCCGCTCCCCCCCAAACCAGTCCCTAAAACCACCTCTCCTCCAAGAGAGTCCGGCGGAGAATACCTACATTAGGATCACAGCACTCGCTAAACACACTGGGAAAAATCAGGAGACACTTGGTTACAGTTTTGACACGAAAAAGTTTGGGAACAGTTTTTGCTTAAAAAGAGTAAAGACAGCCATTTTGTTCAGAAGGATTTCCTTTTATGTTTTTTCTTGCCCAAGTATTCTCTTAGTTCACACGGTGGAAAACTCCAGATTCTTTTAAAACGTTTCTTTAAATGGTTGAAGTCCCTGTCCTGAGCGCCCAGGGCTGGCAGGGACGGACGAGTGGGCGGCCTGCGAAGGGCGGCATGCCGCCTGCCTCTGCCCGCTTCCCACTGCCTTCCCCACCGGTCTGATGTCTGCAGGTGGGCGATGAGGCGGGCAGGCAGAGTTACTGATACTGCGGACACAGGGCTCGCTGAAACTTAGCAAGCGTCGTGTGAGGGTCACATTATATGTGGTGACAGATTCAATTTGCTCTTTCCTCAAAGACCCTGAGGGTAGCCACTGGGCCTACACGTAAGTAATGGGGTCAAACAGGAGGGCAGGAGGGCTCTGGGATCAGCGGAACTCTAGCAGCAAATCCAAATGCCAATCCTGACCATCAACAGGGGAGGGGTTAGTTTAGCGGTTGACTAAAACTCTGTGGTGACCTCCACTCCCTTCTCTCTCACTCTGAGGAGCGGGTGAGCCAATGAGCTTCTCATGGGAAACCAGACTTTTATTGACAGAAGTGTCAATAGTGGCCAAGCCACACTGCCACTATTGACACTGAAGGTGGTCTTGGGTTCAGTCTGCCTTATTAGTATTTTTAAAGCCCAACTGAAAGAGAGAAAAGAACTTAGATCTTCTTTAGATTGTAATGTACAAGGTTAAAGGTTAGAATTGAGACAGATTTCAGGATTCCCACTCTTATTTCTTAATATGTTAAAGACCATTTAAAGTCTTTTCTATTTCAAATGGTATCCAAAGTCCTTGTAAATCTCAATTCAGATACTTCATCAAGAACTCAATGAGTACCTGGGATAGAGGTATATGAGATGAAAAGTCACACTGTATTTCTGCAGTCATGCGCTCCAGGCTGGATTCCACCCTGTGCCCTTTATGATGCCTTCATTTGGGGTACAGGCCTTTAGGTGTTAAGGGGGAACTAGACTTACCAATGGAATGGATGAATTTGGTGAACGTTACAGGCAACCTGCAGTGAGTTTTCAAGGCTACATACAACACGTTTGGTAGTAGCTGAGTGACCTTTTACAACCTTGAATACCATAAGAAGGTCACAAAATGTATGATGGGAATTATGCATTTAGTAAATGCTGGCTTGATGAATGTTCTAAACTCAGTAAGATACTTAAACGCTAGAAACTTTACTGACTTTGCCCCTATAATGTAAATGCAGGTCTTGTTCAGCGTTAAACTTTAGCCAGAGCCTAATTCGTCTAGGACCAAACAGTCCCCAGAACCATTTGAGATACTGGGAAGGGAGAAAGATTCCCTGCTATGGTTCATACAGGCCAGAGAGACGATGTCTGCCCAGAAATTTCCTTCTCAGAAGCCCCTGTCCAGAGGACTTCCATAAGGTTTCAGAGGGAGAGCAGCAGGAAGGGTAGAAATGAAAAGGGGAAGAAGGTGCAGTAAGTCATGCAACATGTGGGCAAGAGTGGCAGGTACTGTATTTGATGGTAAAGGCTGATCAGCGGGACCCTGAGAGACCTGGCTGAGGCCTTCCCTTGCCAGACCAGCTAGACCACCGCCAGCCAGTGCCAGGCCCGGGCACTTCTCTGGGCATGGCCTCCTCTGCTCTCTGTTCTGCTGTAGTCCCGGGAAGGCTGTTATCTTACCTCAGCTCTCTGCATTATGGTATTTAAAGTGAGACTCTAATACTCCAGCCCTAAAACACTGGGGGCTATCTACATGATTTACGGGCAATGAAGTAAATAAATGGAATTGAGGTAATTGACCACAAATGACCACCACTTAATATCTAACCCCTGGCACCCCAACTCCGGCCAGCCTTGCTATCAGGAAGCATCTCAGTAAGAAGTTTATGAGCAGAGTTCATTTAAACCTTTGATAAGGAACACTCTACAGCTTCTCAGGGGAGACTGTTTTACAGCACAAGTCAGGGCAGCTGGAGATTTGACCATATAAGTTAATGAGACAGNAGGGGAGACTGTTTTATAGCACAAGTCAGGGCAGCTGGAGATTTGACCATATAAGTTAATGAGACAGTCAAGGCTTGCTGGTGGGAAGATACTGAACTGATGGCCGTGATGACTTTACAGGAAGCATCAGATTCTTGGGTGAGTAACTGGGGAAGGGAAAGGAGAAAATGCAAGACAAAGGCATTTAGCCCAGCAACTCTTATCAGAAGATGAGTGTCTGGTCAGGTGTCTGGCCACAGAGGTCGTCAAAGGCCTACATTTGGTTAAGTGGTCTATTTCTTGGTGTCTGCTTTTTTATGACTGCCATTGTCTATGCTTGGGGAAAATGCCCTTCAACAAAATGACAATACCTTCAAGTGAATTTGTAACTTTGAGGTCAATGTTCTGATTTGTGACACAGAGTTGGCCAAGGAAACACTATCCACTACTGTTACTCTTTCAGGGTAAGAGCAATAAACAAAAGTCCTGAATCACCAAATGGGATCCTGTAGGCAAGTAAGTGACTCAGTCCTCAGCCCCCAAACCTATCAATTTCATTTTAGTAAGAAATGAGAAATGCTGATTTGTGCAAGATTTTTCTGGAAAAGATACCTTCTGTTAAGATGTGGGGGAAAGTTATGCCTTTTACTACTTTCACTCAAGCAGGTATGTCTCATACAACCCTTTACACCTCTCCCTCCCTTTTTTTAAAGTATGAGTGCCTAGCAGTAGGCATTTCATAGTCTTTGAATGAAAGAATGGAGGAAGGAATGTGTGTGGGATGAGAAACATTCATTTGTGTGAGAGGAGGTTCCAGGCAATGCACAGGCTAAGGTTCTAGGAAGTGCAAATCAAGAGTTACGCTACAAGGGTGGAGATGGGTCATAAAGTTCAGTGACTGCGGGGCTGCAAGAGCTTGGAGCACTGTGGTGGGAAGGCAGAAGCATTCTTTGGGGCTCAGGGGCCTGATGAAAGAGGTGTTCAGGAGAAACCAGCCTGACCCTGAGGAATAGTCACTACTGAAGCAGAGCTGGCGGTGACAGCGCCTCATGTCAAACCCCTCTTCTCTTTCCATTAGAGATATATGACCTAAGAGAAAGGCCAAAGGTCTTACACGAGGGTGACTGGAGGGAGAACTGTTTGCACCATCCTCTTGCTAACTGGTTGAGGAGAAGAGCACGCGTGAGCGAGATGGACTGGGGTGGGGCGTTAGTGTTCACCGAGCCATCGGGAGGCCTGCTTGCCACTCCCCTGCATAAAACACTGCAGATGAAAAGTAAACAAAAGGGACAGTAAAAGAAGAGTCGTTTTTCTGTTTGTCCCTGTTCTCTCTTTTCCCCTCTCTCTTTTTCTAATAGTATCTTTTTGAGATTTTTTTTTTTAATCCTTGTAGGAGAAAGCACCTGTTGTGATATTAGGACACTCAGCTCTCTTGTCCATGGGAAGCATTCTCTCAGTGTGTTGAACTCCAAGTAGATTCCAGATTTAGTTCTCACGTCAAAAACAGGAGGTATGAGGCTCCCCACTCCATGCTCCTCTGTGAGGGCAGAGCCACTGGCTTCCAGAGTTCTCCACTGCTGATGACTAGATGGTGGTTCTTCGTGGGGACTTGGCCACTTACCCACCCTGGACATCACAAAATAAGTATAGAAACAACATCCAAAGTAGAAAGGCAGAGTCAGATGACAGATGTAGAAATGGCGCTGGAATCACACTTGAAGGTAGGGTGGAGTCTGTAGTGTTTGCACAGTGCCAAGAAGCTTCTGTGTGCCTGTCCTCGTAGTTTGCTTTTCTTGGCTCCTAGGTTCACTGTATTGGGCTGCTGGGCTGGCCACTCCCGATGAAGCAGGGTCAGGATGATTCTTCCAATGCGTTGACCACCTGCTCCAGGATGTCGGGGCAATGGTCTGCTATCTTCTGGAGGATGGCATTGGCAAACTCCTGCAGTTCTGCATTGTCCCGCTCACCTTTTTCTAATTCATTCTGAAGCTGAAAGGGAAAGGAAAGGTGGATTTCAGATAAAATAAAACAATCCTATTTGCACTGAGTTAAGAATTACTGTTTATCAATAAAGAAATGATATTTGCAACAACATGGATGAACCTAGAGGGCACTATGCTAAGTGAAATAAGCCAGACTGAGAAAGACAAAGACTGCAATGGTATCACTTATATGTGTGTGGAATCTGGGAAAAAAAAAAGTCTAACTCATAAAATCAGAGAGTAAAACGGTAGTTGCCAGGGGGCTGGGGAATGGGGGGAATGGGGGAAATGGGGAGAGGTTGCTAAAAGGGTACAAACTTTCAGATAGAAGATGAATATAGACTGAGAATCTAAGGTTAAACATGGTGACAACAGTTGATTACACTGTACTGTATAATTGAAATTTGCTAAGAGAGTATAACTTAAGTATTCTCATAAGGAAAAAAAGGAACTATATGAGATGATGAATGTGTGAACTCAATTGTGGGAATCCTTTGATGATGTATATCAAATCATCACGTTGTACACCTTAAATATATTACAGTTTTACTTGTCAGTTATACCTCAATAAAGCTTAAAAAAAAAAGAAAAAGAAAAAAGAGACACTTTCTATGTGAAGTCTTCCCACATCTAAATTAACAGCCAGAAGGGTAAAAGTAAATTTCAAATATTTTTTCATGAAAACAAGGTCTAAAGAAGTTAGTGACTAGTCCAAGTTCCAAGGATGGTAATTTGCAGAGCTGGGACTCCAATCTCAGCCCTCTCATTACAGGTGGAATGTTCTCCCCACTGTGCCCCAGTATCACACACACGTCCAGGTACATGGATGATTGCAGACAGGATCCTAATCTTGCATAATGGTCTCCGACCTAGGGAAACTTAAAATTTAAAAGATTTCCCCTGTTTCTATGTACCACTTTTATTCAGTGCATTAGACTACCCTACCTTAGGCCTGTTAATTTAGATACGAGGTAGTCTTCTGCTAGTTTAGAAGTATATTTCTAACTTCTTAGGCTTTCAAACACCCTCTCTGACATTCTCCTTCAAGCATTAAATTAACATTTATTAAGGGCCTGGAATGGGTTCTTGCCCTGAAGGCCCATTTAGGTTAATAAAATAGACAAAATGTAAACGGATCATTACAACCCACCATGTTAAGGGCCGTAACCAAGGCATGAATATGTTACAGGGGAAGATGTAAGAATGACTGTTTCATCCTGGAGGAGTCCGAGATGATACTAAAGGCAACATGTGATTTGGATCTTGAGAGCTGAATAGGAGTTTGTCTGGGAGATCAACGACAGAAGAGGCTTTCCAGCAGATGAAACAAGGGCAGATGCACAGAGCTATGAAAGGGCTTGGCACAGATCTAGGGAACAGTGAGATGTTCAATATGGCTGGAGCATAAGGTAAAGGGATTGGGTGGAGAATGACAGGAAACGAAGCCGAAGAGACAGGCTGGGGCCAGATTGTGTATGTAAAGCTAAGGAGTTTAGATATAATCTGGTTACAAAAACAACAACAATAACAAAAGGAAGTCCAAGAGTTTTTAAACAATCCAGAGACATGATCAGCTTCATTTTCTTAGAAGATAGCTATAAAGATAAAAACATGTTAGACTGAGTGGAAAAAAGAATATGTGAAGGGAGGTAATCGTTACAAGCCCAGGTGAGAGTTCAGGAGGGCTAAAACAAAGGTAGGGTCTGGGGACATGGAGAGGAACAGACGGACGCGACTCTGCAAAGGGAGGGCTGACAGGAGGTGGAGACAAGTGAGAGAGAATGGAGAGTCATTCTGACAGTTCTAGCTGTGGATATTAGACAAATGAGACTGAAAATACAGGGGGCAGAGCCGGTTTTAGGAAAGGAGGGAAATTAAAAACTGAGTTTAAAGTATAGTTAAGCCTGTTCCATGCTTCCATATCTCAGGGCAGGGGGAGACGGGGAGGGATTAACCAAAGGACATATATACTTATATGCATAACCCATGGACACAGACAATAGTGTGGTGAAGGCCTGGAGTGGGGCAGGGGCTACGAGAAAGGGGGTAATAGGGAGGAAAATTGGGAGGCTTCTGTAATACTGTCAAAAATAAAATAAAATGAAAAATAAAGTATAGTTAAGAACATAGGCTCTAGAGAGGTAGGCTGCCTGGGTTTCAATATCAGCTCTGCCAATTATTAGTTTGTATGACCTGAACCTCTCTGAGCCTCAGTTTCCTCATCTGTAAAATGGGGCAATAACATTTATAGGTTATTTGAAAGATTTAATGAGGTATTCCTATAAAGTGCAGTATAATGCCTGACACATAGAAAATGGTTGATAAATGTTACATGTTACTATAATTATTGTTACTGTTGTTTTTATGGAATTGGTAAGACGCATGTAGATTAAAAAGCAAAGACAACAAAGTTCTAACTATAGTGTTGATAGAATCTCGATGCTCTGAGCCAAGGATTATCACACTGCTTCTTCAAATATATCAAAAAGCTGGGAACAGATTCAGCAATCTTTTTTTTGCTAAATGTGGACAAAAAGATCAAGACATGCAAGGACTAGATTTAGACCACACTAAGTCCTGGTGCATATCAAGGCCTGGCTGTGTCGTATAAATATAAACCTCTGGAATGGGAAAACCAAGGAGGCCAGGTGCCTTGTAAATACAGTCACGCAGAATATAATCTAGAAATACTGTTAAATGAAAAAGCTACATATAAGCAACAACTTATATGTACGACAACTCTCAAGTATCGTCAATGGAACTGACGTCAAATCACTCAAAGTAAGTGAGGGGAATGTCAGGCTGTATTGCTTCAGATTATTCCCAAGAAAATTCTGAACTCTGGTTTATATTCTGAGCCAGATATCTGTACTTGACTCTCAACATGTCACATATTTATTTCCCATGAAATACTTTTTATTCTATTTGGCTTCAGTTAAGTAGATAAATATGAAGTTACTAATGGATACATTTTAGTTTAATAACATTTTTCAGGAGTTTTTTTGGATTTAAAAAGTATTACACATGCATTGTAAAAAATTTGGAAAAGGAAAGCACCAAGAAAAAAAATCACCTATAACATTAGCATCAGGATATAACCATTCCTATATATTTTGTCATATAGTCTGTGAGACTTTTATTATACATACATGTAATTTTAGAAACAAAATGGCAATGATATTATATAGATTTTTATAAACTGATTTTGTTTTTACCTAAAAGTATACTATAAATACATTTCCAAATCAAATCCCAAAGACTCTTTGAAACTTGGTAATTATTCTAAAAGTTATCCTTAAGTGTAAATATATAAGAAGAGCCAAGAAAATATTTTATTTTTTAATCCTCACCTGAGGATTGATTTTTAAATTTTTTTTATTTTTTAGGAAGAAACACCAATGTGAGAGAGAAACATACACTGATTGCCTGCAGTATGCACCCTGACTGGGGATTAAACCCACAACCTAGGTGTGTGCACTGGCTGGAAATCGAACCCACAGCCTTTTGGTGTAGGGGATGATGCCCCAACCAATTGAGCCACCCAGCCAGGGTCTCAGAAAATATTTTAAGACAGAAAATGATGTGGGACTTGCTCTACCAGATTATAAAACATACTATAAAAGTATACTAGTTAAAAGTATTGTATTGATAAAATTTGATCAGTGGGATTTATAATATAATCAAAAGGCATTAGAAATCAATGAATATTTTAGGTCAACTGGGCCTAGTTGTATTTAGATTCCTGCTCATACTATACATAAACATAAACTTCAAGCTGGCCAAAGATCTAAATTTAAAAATTACACTGAGAATATACATTCTTCTCAAGTGCACATGAAACATTCTCCAGGATAGATCATATGTTAGGCCACAAAAGAAGTCTCAATAAATTTAAGAAGAATAAAATCTCATCAAACATCTATTCTGACAACAATGGTATGAAACTAGAAATCAATTACAAGAAGTAAACTCACAAATATGTGGAGATTAAACAACATGCAACTAAAAAACTGAATGGTCAAAGAAGAAATTAAAGAAGACATAAAATACCTTGAGACAAATGAAAATTGAAATAGAATACACCAAAATTTATGGGTGTAAAACCAGTTTTAAGAGGGAATGTCATAGGGATAAATGCCTACATTAAGAAAAAAGAAAGATTTGAAATAAACAATCTAATTTCACACCTCAAGGAACTAGAAAATGAACAACAAACAAAGCCCAAAGTTAGTAGAAGGAAGGAAATAAAGATCAGAGTAGAAATAAATGGCATAGAGACTAAAAAGATAATGAAAAAGATCAATAAAACTAAGAGCTCTTTTGAAAAGATAAACAAAATAGACAAATCTTTAGCTAGACCTACCAAGAAAAAAAACAGGACTAAAATAAAATCAGAAATAAAAAGGAGACATTACAACTGATGCCACAGAAATACAACAAGTCATAAGAGATTATTATGAACAATTGTATGCTAACAAACTGGAAAATCTAGAAGAAATGTATAAATTCCTAGAGACATAAAACATTCCAAGACTGTATCATGAAGAACTAGAAAATCTGAACAAACCAAGCACTACAAGGAGACTGAATCAGTAGTCAAAAACCTCCCAACAAACAAAACTCAAGGACAAGATGGCTTCACAGGTGAATTCTACCTTACATTCAAAGAAAAATTAAAAACAATTCTTTTCAAACTCTTCCAAAAAAAAAAGAAGTGGAGGGAAAACTTCCAAACTCATTTTACAAGCCAGCATTACCCTGATACCAAAAATAGACAAGGACACCATAAGAAAAGAAAATGGAGGCCAATATTTATGATAAACACTAATGCAAAAGCCCCCCAACAAAATACGAGCAAACCAAATTCAACAATACATTAAAAGGATCATACACCATGATCAAGTGGGATTTATTCCAGGGATGCAAGGGTAGTTTAAGACCTGCAAATCAATAAATGTGACACACCACATTAGAAAAGTGAAGGATAAAAATAGATGTCATCTCAAT